CCCCTTATCTCTTCTCTCCCACATTTATTCATGTTTGGCCAAAAAACTAGCTCCAACAAATTGTTTTATTCCATCTCATTTATTTCCAACACTTTTATTTTCAATAAGGTTAAAAAAGTTTTTGGATTGAGAAAGAATAAAACATTTGTTGGGGCTGGTTTTGTAGCCAAAAGTGAATAAACGTGGGAGAGAAATGATGAGGGGGTACGGTGAAACATTTGAGGGTTTTTTTATGCTGCTTGAAAGAAAAATAGAAGAGGGTCTACCGTGAAATAAGATGGAGAATTAGGGGTCTGTACGAAATTTTTCCAAAATTTTAATGTCCGCACATAGATCACTCTTTTCCCAAAGCCTATGGATGGTATATCGTACATAAACAAAAATCATTGTATCCCATATCATTGAGAGGAACCACAATTCCAAAAATTAATGGAACCGTCGCCGTTGAGATCTTACCATAGACTATGTGCCTACATTATCTCTTCCTTGTGGATTTTCTTATCCCTTTATTAATTCCTTTAGGCTTATGTAGCGTATGCACCTCGAATGCTAAAGATCTCAAAATTTTATAAATTGCACATGAAAGCGACTTTAATCTTCACTAAAAAGTGATATTGGGGTTGGCGTCGTGGTGGTAGCACCACTTGTATCCCAACTAAGGTCCAAGCTTCCATTCTCAGCTAATGCATTAGAAAACTACTAACGATTTAAAAAAAAAACAGGTAGGGGCTCATCATCCCACTAAATTACCCAAAAAAAAAAAAAAAACTTCATTAAAAAGTATTAGTTGAATAGATTGCAAATATATTTCAAAACTCTCATGTTATTGTTTATAGTTGTTGGATAAAAACCTAAGACCTATCATAAAGTTTAGAAAAAAAAAAATCACTTCCACACTTTGAGCCCGATTAATGGAATGCCTTAAAGTGCCCAGTTTGCAAGTTCAATGGGAAAAGTTTATTATGACTGCTTTGCATCAAAAATAAATAATCATAAGGAAAATATAGAATGAGACTATTCACTGTTGGTATAAGTTGGTCACATTAGTTATATGACCATTGGATGTGAAATTGGGTGGTTGCAATTATTCTATTGACCAAGTTCAAACTTCAAAAGTAATTTTCTTGAACTTTATGATGTTGGATATGGTGATATCCAAAATCACCTATATAAGAAAATCCAATAATATATGGGATTGATATTGATAAGTTTCCTAAAGAAAATAGAAATCCAAAAAGATTAGGACTATATCTCTTACTTGTTAAGATATATGTAACACCTATATGAAGTTTCCTATTTGGTATGGACTCTTAATCTTATATATATATGAAATGAAAGAACAGAGAATTTGTATGCCCTATTTGGGTGACCATATGGGAAAGGTAGCTTTTGAGAGAGAGAGATAGGGGCTCTAGTGCATAAAAGGTAAGGCATCCCTTTAGAGAGAATAGAGCTTCTTATGGAGAAAAACTCCATGTTGTGCCTCTTGTACATCGAGAGGTTGGTTTTTATAAAGAAGTGGTTCCCATGAAGATTTTGAATAGTTTTCCCTTTTAGTGAGAGAGTTTTGGTTGCTCTCAAATGTCTCTTTTTGGGCAACAGTTTAGTTATAGATTAGAGATGGATCTCTTCTTAGACAGTGGTTTAGCTGTGGCAGATAGGTCTCAACCTGAACAGTAGTTTAATTGTAGAATAGAGATGAGAGATTGGCGGGTCCTGTCAATCATAAGAGTGGGTCTAAAAGGGTTTTGCGCGACTAGTTTTTGTCAAGGGTTAGAGAGGTAACTTTATGTCCCAAATCTGTAATGTAACTTTCATTTGTATGTTGATTTCAGTTTGTCGTACCCATGGATGTAGCCTTCTTGGGGTGAATTACGTAAATCTTTGTATTCTTGTGTCGTGTGTGTCTCATGCTTTATTTCTTGTATTATGGCTTGTGCTCTCTCCTATTTTGTTTCATGCTGGATAAGTACATAATCTTGGTGGGATAAAACTTTTGGGATTCAGGTTTACACATCTAAGAGAGTTCTTAAATGCTAATAAGTGGTGTCTTCAATACAAGGCTAGTATTTATGCATTCGGTTAAAGAAAAGCACATGGCAAAGTATGTGGACATTTTATTTGATGTGGGGAAATATGATGGCAAACACTAATTTTCAACAATAATGATGAATGAATTTACTTGACAAAAGATAAAGAATTCGTAAATCTATCCAATGGATGTTGATATGGTGAGCAGATAATTTTGATATCAAGGTAGAGATTGTTGGATATGGTGATATCTAGAATCACCCCATAAGAAATCCCATATTATATGGGATTGAAATTGATATTGATAAGTTTCCTAAATAAAATAAAAATCCAAGAAGATTAAGAATCTGGGATATATATCTCTTACTTCTTGAGATATATATAACACCTATAGGAAGTTCCTATTTGGTGTGGACACCTAACCTTATATATATGGGATGAAAGAGTAGAGAATTTGTATGTCTTATTTGGATCACCATATGATAAACGTGACTTCCTCTAGAGAGAGAGAGATGGAAGGGTCGCCTGTGCATGAGAGACAATGGCTCCTATAGAGAGAAGAGAGCTTCCTATGGAGAGAAACTCCATGATATGCCTCTTGTAAGAGACTAGTTTCTTGTAGAGAAGCAAATCCTATGAAGATTTTGGTTGGTTTCTCCTTTTAGTGAGAGAGTCTCAGTTGCTCTCAAGGGTCTCTTTCTGGACAACAGTTTAGCTGTAGAATAAAGATGGGTCTCTTCCTGGATAGTGGTTTAGCTGTAGAAGATGTGTCTCTTGCTGGATAGTCGTTTAGCTGTGGAATAGAGATGAGAGATCGATGGGTCGTGCCTATCGGGAGAGTGGGTCTAAAAGGGTCTGCTCGACTGGTTTTTATCGAGAGCTATAGAGGTAACTCTATATCCAAAAATCTGTAATGTAACTTTCATTGGTATAATGGATTTCTGATTGTCGTACCGATGGATGTAGCCCTTTTGGGGTAAACTACATAAATCTTTGTGTTATTGTAGTATGTGTGTCTCATGCTTTATTTCTCGTATTATGGCTCATGCTCTTTACTATTTTTTTTTTTTCTAGCTGGATAAGTACATGATCTTTGTGGGATCCAACTTTTAGGATTCTTGTTTATGCA